CTCACATTATATTCCTCAAGTAATTTTTACAGATATGTCCCCCTTAGAAAAATAGATAAACATCTGACCGTCAGTCAAGCAGTCAACACCTTAAATAAAGACATACCTCCGTGTTTGCAATATTTTAAACTAGAAGTAACTAGTATTTGTATTATAAAGTTTATATAACGCTCTTAATTCTGGTTAATAAGGAAACACTGGAACAAAATTTTGAGTGAAGAACTGGTTTAAGCACATTGCGGGACACGGTTTACTGTAGTTCGGTGCGGCATTTTGTACGACACTAACGCTACGCTTTGCAACCTACTATACGATGACCGTTACTGTGAGCAGATGTTCTACTCATAGCTAATGGACTAATCCATTTTCAATAATCAGTATAGAATAGGTCGGTCGTCTTTCTACACAACAATTTATTTAAAATCAGATTAATTAAACTTTAAATCAGATAACATTTCTCAAAGTTTTAGAAAAGTCTATTTTATTTTTGAAAGATTTTTTTAAATAAAGAAAATGACATTGTGCTGAGAGATGGCTAAAAATAGCGCTAAAATCAGCGATTTCAAAACAAAAATTCGTTCCAGTCAATTTAAATTCCTTTTGAAATACAGCTAAGTATTTTCCTTATTGAAAATATAAAATTTAATTAGCTTGAAGTTAAAACTAAAATAAAAGCTTCAAGAAAGATTTTTAATTTTTTTAAATTTTAGGTATCGCGTTTCTTTGGAAGTAACTTAACAACTTCTGTTATAAAATGTAAATGAATTAGTTTTAATTTTTACCATAATGCCTGGAAGTTTATTTTCTAATTTATGACTATGACCAATTACCAACGCCGCAAAAGATCTACGCAAGTGTAGCAACCAGTTTAAAGAATCGATAATCTTAAAAGAAAGACAGAGATGTTTTTATATCTTAGAAAAAGAAAAATTATTACTTCCAATAACATTCCCAGAAGATGCAGTGTTCTTCCAGTATGAGGTAAAGAAAATATTTCATTGGTCACATCAGTATCAGATGATGAAAAAAAGGGCATATTTCGTTTCTATAAAATGAGAAAATTTTCTCGCTCCCATACTTTTAGATGACGATTCATTCAGTATTATTTGCTGCAACTAGAGAGAAAGTAATTCTATCGATTGTATTCTTGATGTAAGGATCGAAAAAGAAAAGACGAGAAATCGAAGCGAAGGAAGGAACCGGCTGGGAGAAATAAAAGGGAAAAATCCTGTGAAAGGTAAGATAGAAAAAGGGAAAAGAGAGAAGAAGGTCATAGTTAAAAGGAGAAACTTTAAAGAAAACAAACGAAGATGCAAACTTGGTTAAGATCATGATTAAAATAAGCTGAGAGAAATATGATAAATAGAATTCATTTTTAGAAATTATTTTAAGATAATTAAAAAAAAATTGAAAGCATATTCGAGAGCGAGTTCAAAATAAAACTTGCTCAATTGTTTAAATATGAGGTGGAGGGGCATGAGTATAAAAGGGAGAAAAAACAACGGGAAGCGATTTCAATTCTTCTTCTTATACGCGCCGTGTCCTTTCAGGGCGTGGGCGATCATGGCTCATCACAACCTCTTATCTCTTGTGGCTCTTAGCAATGTTTGTCCCTTTGCCAAACCTCTCGATTCACGGGTGACTAAATAAGCTCAGATTATATGGGAAATCCGTTACACCTACAGAACACGCACGTTTTAAAGTGGGCCTTCCAGAAAGTGCCAAGTTCTCTTGGATCTTGCCGCAACCATATCAGGTTATATTCTTATCTACCCAGTGGTGAAATTCAAATTCTCTTTTTATATCACCAGTTTTATTGTTTAAGAAATTAGGGTCCTTTTCTTTCTTTTCTTTATAAATAAAAGTACAAAAGAATTAAAGAATGAGGTCTTCGATTAGTATGTGTCATCCACTTGAATCCCAACACTGTACCCACGCCATTTTAGTGCAGTGGAGAGATACTGTATGGGTAACAGATCCTCCGTGGTCAAACGAAGATGAATGTTTTGTCTACGGTAAAGTCTGACTAGAATCCAGAGAGAAAGAGATAGAGATAAAAATAAAAAAAAAGGTGAGGACCTAGTAAATTCAGGTTTATTATAGCTCTCTAGCTTCATTTCTGAATTAAAAAAAAAAAAAAAGTTCTCAAAATAACGATAGTATCTTGGGAAAATCATTTCTATTATGACTAATACTCTCACCCTTGTTATTATTATTGAAACATTTCAACCCTTGTGTTCTCGGCCTTCTTCAAGTGTCTGTCAATCTGGATTTCAGGGAATTTCGAAATAGACACTTTATTTAATCTACGGGAGGGAAGGTCCAAAAGTTTTGTTACCCCTAGATAATATAATTTTCTGTTTTAGATGGCTGACACAAGCTCCTACAGTTTGGAAGAGAGGTAGGGGTGACAAAACTTTTGGACCACACTGTACAATGGGCAGACTGTTCGTATTCTAATCTCTCGTTTTGTTCTTATTTAGTATTACTGGCTCTGTTTTAACTGAGTCTAAGTCGGCACTCCCTGGCTCCAGGGATTGAACCCACAATCATTATTATATTAGTAATAAATCCACTTACGAGTTCAGTCATTGGGCCGGGTAGTACAGACTTAAACTCAGTTGAAAAAGGTCGAGCAATAACTGGGCAATATAGACGGTATATACCTAGATATGAACAGTGGAACGAGAATATTTTACCATCAGAGATTAAACAATGGGTTCAGTTTTTAATTCCCTGAAGGTTACCAGGAACGACAGACGCCCAAAGAAGCACGAAGCACGGTGGGACCAATGGCCGAAATGCTGTGATAATAAAAACAACAAAGATGAGGATATTAGTCCGAATGTAAATAATGATACCCTCTTCATTACAGAAATTCAGACTTGAAAAGTCTGCTTAAGAATTTTTAAAAGATCATTTCTAAAATCATTTCACCCCCAAGCAAGGCGATAATGCCACTAAGACGCATGGGGTTACTGGGAGTGAAAGAAAATTAGAAGACTTTTGAAGGAACTCGAAACCCAGTCCTAAACAGGAAACAAGTGATAAACCTCTACCCTTGTTCAATCGACAGGGAACTGGACAAGAGACGAATCTATTTCGGAGATGAAACTAAAACTGATGAGATGTTACTGTGTTTTGGGGTTGATTTTTTTTTTGGGGGGGGGAACCTACATTAAAAAACACACTTCTATCCATTTACCAAAAAAAAGGTTTTCTTTTCCACCTTCAATCAAATACCTTCTTCTTCCATGTGCCGTGTCTCCTCAGGACGTGTACGATCATGGCTCTCTACAATTTCCTGTTCTTTGTAGCTCTTAACAAATTTTGTCTTTTTGTTATTTATCCTAAAACTTGTTCCGCCATCAGTTTATGCACGTCCACTAAGTATGTTATGCGTTGTTTTCATCTGCTCTACTTGCCTTCAATCTGTCCTGAGAATGTCAGATTTTCCAAGCCCTCTTGTCTCAAAATGTTTCCTAGAAACTTTATCACTTATTCTCAAATAAATAGAATAAAGATCAGGCGTAGGGAATTGTGTTATAAGCAGGGAAAATAAAAATATTTCTAAATTATAAAGATTCGGTGTGGGCAATTTTATAATCGTTTAAAAATACGTTTTATGAACGGATGAGGGTGAGCCCAACACGCAAATTACAAATCGTTGGAGATGCCAAAATCAAACAAGTACAAAAATTTCAATATCTGGGAAGTGTTTTAACAGAAGACGGAAAGTGCGACACTGAAATCCGAAGGTGTATTGAGATAGCCAAAGAGGTATTCCAAAAGCTAAACAGAGTATTGAGAAACAGAAAAAAACTTCATTAGAAACAAAGAAAACAGTACTAAACTGTTTTGTCATATCTGTCCTTCTACATGGAAATTAATGCTGGACAGTATCCTCAAAGAACAAAAACAGACTTGAAGCAACAGTTTTAGAGAAAATGGAAGCAAAAAGGAGACTTATACTTAACATCAGAAAGAAACAGTTGAAATTTCTAGGGCACATAACGAGGAAAGAGGGTTTGGGAAATCTGACACTCACAGGACAGTTTAAAGGTAAGAGGGACAGAGGAAAATAACGCGTAACCTACTTAGTGTGTTTGAGTAAATCAATGGCTCAACAAGGTTTAGGAGAAATAACAAAAAAAAACAAAATTTATTAAGAACTACAAGGACAGGAAATTGTGGAGAGCCATTATCGTCTACGTTCTGAGGGGACATGGCATATAAAGAAAATTATTAAAGCGTGTGCTTTACGTTAGTGTAAAAACGCACTGGGTGGAATGATAACAACAAAAAATAACAGCTACTTCGAACAAAACAAATCCACGCGTACGGAGGTAAATCAATAAGTCGCTAGTCTAATAATAATGGCAAAAAAAAGTTCTCTGTCAATGCACTTAATTCAGTTATTAGCAAATATCGCATCAAACATTTAAACTACAGTGAAAATTTCAGATCGAAACTCCATTCACAACTAATGTTAGGCTACAAAATTATTGATATATCCTCGTAGGTAAATCATCATTCATTAAATTCGTCCTGTTCTGTCAGTAAAGTATTGCTTTACTTCCTGACCTCTGACAATCCCTTACTTATTGGTTTTTAATGGTCAACAACAATGATTTCTGAAATTTATTAAAAAATATTACACCCCAATGCAATATTTGATGCTCAATCATAAAAACTATGTTCACTACGACTAGAAATATTTGCTTAGTTAATAAAAAAAGAAAGCTACAACGCGGACAATTGAAGGAGTATTGATCAAGTCAGTGGGTAACAATAAAAACCGAAACAAACAGTCAGCAAAAATCCATTTTCCAATTTTTCGCAACTTAGGTTTTTTATTTATTCACCAATAAGGAATACGGAAGAATTTGCCGAGCGAAATAAGTAAATTTAAAACCTTAGGCTAGGCTCGTCGTCACAAAATAAAATGTCAAGGAACTAAAAGCTTGGGGAAGTGGAAGAGACTAAGTCAGATATTTTTTTACACCGGTTCTTGTACGATCACCGAAGTTAAGCAAGGATGAGTCTGGTCACTAATTTGATAGGTGACCGCTTGGGAATACCAGGTGTAGTATAGTGGATAACTGCTCGGAATTGGAAAATTCGTTATTCACTTATGAACAAATGTATGGGAAAGATATGAATCCACCCGCCAGCTATGGGCTAGAACTTGTATCAATAAAAATCATTTATCTCAAAAAAATTCTTAGAATCTAAAAATATTTTCTGGGTTTAAAAATTGATAAACCGTAAAAAAAAACAAATCAATCATATGTTGTTTCAAAGATTTCTGATTCTATACTTTTTAAAGGATCCTCATCAAATTATTATTTAATTTAGATCTCTATCCTACTGTGTAAAAGTAAACATTTTTTGCCTCTTCGTTTGTTGTACTTATTTTCAGAAATGTTAGTCTATTTTCGCTTATAGAAGTTTTAGGAATTAATGTTCCATTGGGAGGGTGAATTTTTTTAATTTATTTTGAAAATCAATGGTCTTAAATGATTTTAGACAAATGATATATCTCAGCTCAATAGCATTCATTGTCATAGATTGAGGCCAAGCAGACAAATTTTTAGTCTTCTGTTTAGTTGTCAGTTCTAAAAAGTTGGAGGCTGGAAACCCACCAGCCTACATATAGCGATGTAGATGGGAGTTAGTTATGTAGCGACCAATTTTGAATAACATCAAGGAATATTTTTGTTTTATTGCAGTGTCGTGAGTTCTCAAGAAAAAAAAATTCCTTAGACAGAACGAAAACAAAATCTACTTATTCAGTCTGATCCACACTACATTTTTTTTCCTCAAAAATGAAACTGGTCGATGCAGACGATATTTTGATCTGTTAAAAAGAGAAATTTTTTTCCATGCGTCATATTTTTTTTTACTCACTAAAATATGTGCAGAATCAGATTTAGTTTCTGATCAAAATCATTTCGCATGTTTTAACATCGTCATTTATAAACTGAACTTTGTGAGATCATTTTTTTAAGAAAAAAAAGTCTGCTGCCCATAAAACAAAACAAAACTAATGGTCATTATCAACCACACAGCAACAAAAGAAATGAAAAAACTAATGAAGCCCTAGACAACAGCATTCCTCAAAAATGTCTCCTCGTCTTGAAATGCCATTCACACTGAGAATACTGTAAAAAAATTATCCGAATTCAAAGTTTTAATCTCAAGCAGAGAGTAGAAACAAAACAAAACTAAACTAAAATCTCGTATATATCTTGAATTGAAAGTATTAAAAATATTTTTCGATTATGGTTTCAGCAGGAAATTAAAAATAATAGATAATATAAATTTAAAAAATGGTTTTAAAAAGTATAGAATTCCAGACATCCATTCACCAACAGAAAAAAAAAAAAGAAATCTCAAACGTTAATTTGATATTATTGCCCGATAATGCGATTTTTTTAAACAAAAATGTAAAGAAAGCCATTAAAAAAAAAAAAATACGTTTTTTACCTATTCCTTCCTTAGCTATTCCGATATAAACAGATCTTTAATTTTGAAAATTTTTTTTATTCACTAACATTTATTTTGGTCTCGCTTTTACTTTGTCACATATTAATTTTTAAAAAGCTAAGCAGATTTTTGAAAATCAGGAAATAGCATTTCATTTCACAGCATATAACCGTTTAGAAAAAAAATCTCGTTTAATTCCCTGTTGAATCTGTAGCGTTCACGTTCGCACTAATTTCTTTGGGAAAAGGCAGTTCTTCTTTTCCTTCCTGCTACGGGTTAAATAGTAGAGTAGACTGGGCTCTCTAACCTGTAAACTAAACACCATTCTGAATTCAAAACCAACGGCAACGGGAAACCGCTCCTCTATCTTTCCCAAGAAGCCATGGCAATTTATTTACAGATAATATAGAAAAAGTAAAAAAAAACTGAAACATAAAGAAGGTTCTTGCTTTTCCTATGGTGATCCGAAAAATCTAACAGGATCAAATTTTAATAGTTCAACTTTTTATTATAGATTTTACAAGGATACTCAGGTACGGCATTTTTTTTTTCGGGCGTTTTCTTTCCCTCTTATGATCACTTAGCCAACCCCAGTACTTTCGGTAAAAAACACTTCGTAATGTCGCTGTTCGAAGATAAGATGTTATAAACGAAAAATAAGGGAAAATAAATGACAAACGAATTGGGAATGATCGCGTGTATGCTTTCTACTTGATTCCCCCAACAATCTGAAAAGAAAGCAGACGACAGTTTCTTTTTGTTTTTTCCCTTTCCTATTTTTTTTTTTTTTTTTCAATTTTATCCATTATAATTATATTAATGTACCCCACTTAACCAAGATTAAACACCCAAAAAGCAAAAATTAATATTGGAAAGTTTATAACACCCTTGGAATAAGCAAAGACAGACGAATAATTATCGTTCTAAAACTGAAAAATAAAAATAGTGTTTAAACATAGAAAAATCACATGAATTTATTTATTTCCCCAAAGTGTGGGTATAGTAACTAACGAGCCTCACTAACTTGGTATTTACTACTTAAGATTAAAACTTCGGCCTTCGAAAAAGCAATTCTTTGCTCTAATCATTCAGTTATACATGCAAGTGCGAAACCAAAAATTGATTGTAGATTCCCGACGAACTTTGCACACATAACCGAATATTACTACACACAACCTTAAGTAAAGAGAAGAAAAAAAACAAGTCTCACATTTCAAGGTATGTAAGCGGTAATATTTAATCTTAAAAAATATATAATAGATTGAAATAAAAGAAATTCTTTCTGAGTTTTTGGTTCGTATGAAAGCTTTTATTTGCCGTAAATTTGTATATAGCTTTGAATAAACGAGCTTTTTTCGTTGGAACTATATTCTTGAGTGTAGGGATAATTGTATGTGAACGTAGTTTCGCCCATTCACTTTGTAGACCTGTTCACAGTAACTGCTGCTGCTGATCAGAGCACTTGTCAGCATGGCTGGATGCGCAACTTGTAATAGCCGGCCGAGGACAAGCTGGAAAATGTTGCTCGTCGGATGTTACTGGGTTTGTCTTTGTCATATCATTGTTGGTAAGTCATCCATGAATAAGCTGTCATAAATATTACATCTTTGATTCCTGTGACAATTGTCTGCAACATCGCATTCTCTTCTCTATTTTTTTTTTTTTTTTTACTTTCCGCTTTAATTGTTTTTAAAACTATTGTCTTAGTGTTATTTCTTATTTTTGCTTTTTCACTGTCCACTCTGTACGTTTTCTTTTTCTGTGTCTGAATATGTACTTTTATTAAAATTTTATATTCACTTTCATATTTACTAATCATGGAAAGAAATATAACTTTTAGCAAAAGCCTGTAAAGAATAAGTTTTACTTTTATTAATTATATACATTTTTTTAAATTTTTTTTTTATTTTCTTTTTGTTAATTTAAAAAAAAATTAAAGATTTACTTTACACACAGTAATACCGTGTCGTGAGGCGTGTAAAAATTATTGAAAAGGAAGTAAAAAAAAAAAAAATAGAAAATTACCAAAAACCTGGATTTTAAAATCTTATTTTTATCACCTGTTCTTATTTCTAGCTGATTTTTTTTTTAGTAACAGAACCACAAAAACCAAATAATTTGTGGTTAGTACGCTTTATTTAAAACTTTTAACAACACTTGCTACCTTAATTCTAATTGAAAATTGAACCCTATTTTTCTTTTTAGCAATCAAAAATATCTTAAATAAAATGACATTTTCGTGGTAATAAAAAAATGAAAAAAAAAAACATAAAACTAAATATTTTATGTAAAGATTTTACTTACCTATGTTTAATTTTTTTTTTTTTTATTGGGCGGGCGGGGTGGGGAGGTCAGGTATTTTTAGAAAGTGATGTTTTTGAAAATGACCAGAAATGTCGTCACTGGCCTAGTAAACACTAAAGAGCAAAGGTGTACTGTAAACACTGAAGATGTTTTTGTTTTGTTTATTTTTTCTTAAATATGGGGTTTAGAAAAGTAGGATATTTGATTATTATTCCTTTTTTTTTTTCTTTTTGTATAGCCGGTTTTACGATAATTTAGCAGCTAAATTAACAAAATCCCCCAAATGCCGAGGAAGGATTTGAAACGACTGCTTTCATTTTCTCTGCTTTTTCAACAACACATGACGTAGGTGTTGCTTAGCGATTTTTTCTAAGTTTTAACAACTTTCTACAAATAATGATTTATTATTATTATTATTACTGCCATAAAAATGATTTAGATACTTTTTAAATACTTAAAAAGTTAATTCTGTCGGTTTCCTTAAAACTTAACAAGTGTCATGTGTGTATTATTTTCAGGCGAAAGTACGTTACATGATGTCATATCGGCGGCTGCCAGTGTCGACGACACAACAGGTGGAAATAATAATAATAATAACGCTACCAATGACAAGAAGCAAATGACAGGTGATGATAGCATGCCTTTCCACTGGCCACCCCCGCTCCTCAATCAACAGCATCGATCCTTTTCTTCTTTCTCTGGTCAAGGGGTTCAAATTCACACGAGCAAACGGAAACCCGATGACCCCGACGTTGGCGTTTTGGTTCGCATTTTACGTTCTGCAACAAAAGCCGAAAAACCTGCTGCTGCAAAGAACGCGGGCGCAGCTCGTCTGATGTCCTCCCCATCAACAGGTCGCCGCCGCCGCATCGTGAAGAAGACTAATCAGCGCCACCGACGGAATATAATCAGTGCAGATGACGATGATGTTGTTGTTAATAATAACAACAACAAACCCAGCCTAAGGGGTGGGGATTCCGAGAAGTCCTTTTCCCCTGAGCGTGGACGTCTTGTTCAGAAACATCGATTCCTACTTTTACGGAAACCCCGATCATCGGCTGCAATCACAAAGAATTTGGTCAAGGCACCTTTGAGTGGAACTGCACAGGATGCAAACAGACATGATTTGGATCAATTGTCTACTATACCATTACAATACATCATTGTTGTGGTGAGTGTTCCTGCTTGTATTGTTTTCTTATTTGTTACTTTATTTTCATATAGTTTCTTTAATTAAAAAAAAAATATATATATAAATATATTATTCGACGACGATGATCACCACCACCACCACCTAAAAAAAAAAAAAAAAAAAAAAAAATTGAACTTAAATACTAACTTATTGATTTTAAAAAAATTACTAACAACCCCAACCATCTCTTCTAACAAAAAAAAAAAAAAAAAAAACCCTACTGTGTTGGTTGTGTTCTTCTATTTAAAAAGATATAAAATGTAAAAAAAAAAAAAAAAATAAAAAATTGAAACACAGGTACCATAGTATGTAAGGAGGAAGAAGAAAAAAAAAAAGTACCTACCCATGGTGATCTGATTTTTTTTTTTTTTTTTTTTTTCATGGGACACACAAACACACACACACACACACACACACATTTCTCCTTCTCTTCCTTTTCTTCTCAGTCTTCATAAAGTTGGGAGATTGAAGGGGATTACAAAAAAAAAAAAAAAGAAAAGAAAAATAAAATGAGAAAGAACAAAAGAAGCCAAAGAAAAAAAAAAAAAAAAATAAAGAAAAAATATCAGTAAATAAAATCAGGGGACAATATCTCCTACAATACAGGAAGGCAGCTTTCTTATATAACAATTTATTTATCCTCCACACTTGTTACTCATATTAATTATTATCCTTTATTACCATTATTATTATTATTATTGTGATTCTGAGCACCCACTTAAAAAAGAGAAATATATACTTATTATATCCCCCATCCCTGCTATTGTATAACATTGATTAATCTCAATATCAAGTCCAAAGTGAACCCTGTCTTTTAAATCTTTGTTGTTGTTATTAGAGAAATCAGATTTTACATATATAAGCAGAGAACACACACACACACACATACAGAGACGTTCGCACACATAGACACGTGTTATTGTTACCATTAATAAATTATTACTGTGGCACTTTTGTATTTTAGTGGTTCCCGAATAAATTTGATTTTTCATATTTTTGTCATCCACCTTCAACAGACTTGACCATTGGATTATTTATTACCAGACTTCTGTTGTGTGTATTTTTGTTTGAATTCATATACATTTCTTTCTTTGTTTCTCTAGAAATGTTTTCTATCATTTAAAGGATAAACTGAATTTTGTAAATATTTATTGTAAATATTCAATCCCATGCAATAAATTATTTATATTTTATTTCTCTTTCTGAATATTTTTATTCTGCGAAGAATTGCCTTTTTTTTTTTTTAAAAAAAAAAAAAAGAAGTTTTCTTCTATTTTGTTTTGGTGTTCCAGCTTGGGATGAAATGGTTTATCATAGCCTTCCCCACTAATATATAATGGTGCCAAAGCCCTCCTCCTTTCTTTATTTAAGCTTGATAAATGTCTGACAAACTTTCTCTAGCTGACCATACTTTATATTGTTATCTCAAAAACATTTTCATTATCTCATAAAATTCAGGTTTCATCTTATGCTTTTCTCATTATATACCTAAAAATACATGGCTTGATTTTAATAATGTGTTTTCACAGACTTCTAGAGGATTGTGATCATCAAAAAAAATAATTGTTCTTAACACTTTTTAAAATGACATCTATCACTTATAGGGAGGGGACCCCTTGTATATTTCTTGATATTTTATATTTACAAATATCGATGATTGAGATAGAAGAAGGCTTCTTGTGTTGTCCCCAAAACTTTTCCATTCATAAAATGTGTGCAGGTACAAAAGTCATATGGAACACAAAACGATACCGGTTTATAAAAATAATTTTCAGGGTATTAAACATATGCCAATGTTACTAAAATAAATGGTTTCATATTTGACAAAAATTGTTTTAAATACCAAATAACATAATTTTTTGGCTTTTTTTTATTTTTAGGTCTAACTAGTAATTGGTGCATCTAATCATTAATGTGTGTGTACACACACACATGGTACTTAAAACTAAATCTACTAAACTGGTATCATGTTGTGCTTAAATTTCCTTACCTTGTGAATCTATGAATTTAATGTTTGTGTGTATTATATATATATATATATAATTTGACAAGATGGTGCTGGAAAGTTCTCAGCTTAACAAAAAAGGGATTCAAGAAAAATTTTGAAAGTGCATCAGACAGATCTTTTCAGCACCCACCTTGTGTGTGTGTGTGTATATATATATATATATATATATATAAAGCTTGTGTAGTTTGGTTCAAAAATACACTTAAAAAACAAATTTGATCCTGTCTGAAAAAGGAAAATGATTAAAATATTTTTTTCAAAATACACATCTTAAATAAAATCAGGCCTGTTTTTTTATGAACTACTTTTTATATAAGAGAGAACGTAAGTAGTTAGATGATTGTATATTTTCTGCAGAAGTAATTCTTTAAAGATTAAGTATGCCTATACATCTATGTGATTATAATAAATTTTATGAATGAACTCAAACTGATACATTATCCTTTATTAATAGTGTATGATGAAGACAGGATAAATAAGGCACCAACAATTTGTCCAGTAGTCTTAAGCTGTTTCTTTTTGAGGCATTTTCAAATTACTTTCCCAAACAAAATTCTGGCTAATATTCATTGTCTATTTTAGTATTTTTGTTAAGTTTACTTTCAATCTTTGATAATTTGATATATTAAACAATGAAAAATGTAATTCTTAGTCATATGAATTTACCTTCTTAAATGAAATTTGCTTATAAAAGGATTGGAGATTGAATTTTCTGTTCATTCCTCATAATTTTAATCATATTTTCTTTTAAATACACCATTAAAATTAGAGGCAAATAAACAGTTAATGACAAATTTATTTGCTGTAGTTGGTGATTTCATTGGATAGACAATAATTTTATTTTGAAATAAAACTTTATTTTTTTTTTTTTTTAAATATACTTGATTCATTGTTTCTGATGAAAGTGAGAAATCCTTTTGTATATTTATCATTTTTTTTTTAAAACTTTCTCCCCCAAAAATAAGGCAAAAATAGAGAAACGAATACCTCAAGAGAATGTGAGCAAATTATATTTATGATTATTTTGTCTAATGAATAATAAGAGCAAGGAAGAAACTGTGAAAAAATTTTTGTTAGTTTGCTGCTTGCAATGCTACAAGGGATTACTGAAAAGTTCTCAGCCCCACCACTAAGAAGCATTTTTTAAAAAAAATATGACATTTGATCAAATTTTGGGAAGTGGGTTAGGTGGCTGAGAATTTTTCAGCACTAGATAATAGTTTTTTCATTAGCATAGCACAGCATTGGTCTTGTAGAATGTTACACCTGATGGCTGATTGAGAACCATCACTTAGTAATGTTGACTCTGCATTTTTTATCTTTCTTTACCTCAGCTCATATTTTAAATACATTTTTTTTTGTACAAGTCTATTTTTTAGAAATTTACTTGTGTAACACACATATATGCAAATGCTTAAGAAGCTGTGTGCACATAATTCACTTTGAATATATATATATATATATATATAAAATTCCACTTTTTGTAGCATTTACTTGTAAATATTTTGCTCAATACAAAGTAGAGCAGTATATTATTATTTTTATTATGAGACATTATAATAAAAACATGTTGAAATCGCTACACAGAAGTTTTCATGTTTCAATACTATGATTGTACTTCTTCAGGCGATGTGTAGCGATTTCAACATCTCTTATAATAAAAATAATAATATTTTTATGGTATTAGCATACCATAAAAATATTATTATTAAACATTTATATGGTAAAAGTGTTCAATATGCGGGATAGAGCTTATGTAAATACAAGCAGTGTGGACACTGATGTCAACACCGAGTAACAACAGTCTGTTTTATGTTTAAATGCAATCTTCAAACCAGAAGATCATGTTCTGTCATACAACAGACTGTTGCCACACCACCCTGTGTTGATATCAGTGTCCACATTGCTTATATATAGTTGTGTATTTGGCCAGCAATCCCTTTTTAATACCTGATCTATGATGAGAAAGTACTTTCATTTAGTATAATAATTAAAAAAGAAATTCTTGAAAGTCTCTAAAAATTGAGCCAAAATCAACAAATATTTTAACAGTTTTTATATTCATTATATCCAGAAAAGAAACACTTTTATAGATAAAAAAAAAAAAATCTAAGCAAAAGTACATTGTCAGTGTGGTTAAATGAAACAAACAGACTACACACGCAAAGCAGCAACTGAAGTTCAATTTATCCATCTGCATTCTGAGTTTTGCAGAGATAGCATCTACTAGTCAGGAACTTAGTAACACAATTTTACTATCAATACTTTCTTTACAAATCTCAGAGGTGGGAAAGATAAGTTGATCATTTAATTTTTATTTCTTACTATAAATTTTCATGATATTGAGCTCTTTATTTAGAAAAACTGCTTGCCTGAAAAATGTTATCTTTCAGAAATAATCTGGTCAACACTTTCAATTAAAATAAAAAATTTTTATGACTCACTATCATTTTTATCTCACTCATGCACACACATCTATATAGATGCATATGTATACACTGAATGTGTATGTATGCACATAGAGGCATGTGTATTTAGAAAATGTATGTATATATATATATATATATATATGTGTGTGTGTGTGTGTGTGTGTGTGTGTGTGTGCACTTGCATGCACATAGGTGAATGCAAACGTCCGCATGAGGTTATATATATATATATATATATATATATATATATATATATATATATGTGCAGGTATATATTCAGTGTGTGTTGTTCTCTCTCTTATATATATGTATGCATGTGTACAAGGTGTTTTTTATATATATATATATATATATATATATATATATATATATATATATATATACACACACACACACACAGAATTAATACAAATAAAAGGTTTGTCAGCTGATTGAGGTTACCTTCAGCATCCCAACTCCAGAGGTTCATAGACTGACCCTCTGGGAGTCATTCCAGCCACTCATCAATGGTATCAGCAATTGATTGCTTATACGTTTTTATTTTGTTTTTATGCACTTTTCATTGGTGCAAGTTTTTTTCATAGTGTATATGTGTGTGCCCATGCACT